CGATTGCTTGTTGGCTTCTCTTGGGAGGATGCTCCCATCATTTGGTCAATGTTTGCTCTCCCCAGGCAGTGGAATGGAGACCCCACTGTTTGCCTTGCAGACCCTCTTCCAGGAGAAGCCCAACACGATTAAGTATTTGTTTCTTGTCTTCATCAGCTCCCTGTGCGCTCCCTATGCTCTTCACCGCCTAGGTCACAAAGTGAACGCAACAGTGTGGCGCAGAAATTTTTAAAGAAGAACTGCCCGGAACCGCTACTGCCACTTGTCTCCATTATAGGCCGCAGTCGGAGATTCAAACTTATTGTTCACATCGGACTCCCATACCACTCTAAGGAGGAAAACAGACATGTTCGACAAAGACACCATTTCTCTGAAGCGCAAGGCGGGTTTCTGTCCAGCAGGCGCTACGAGTACGTGACATGTGAGATTGAAACTCTTTGACGCATCCTCTAGGTGGCGCTCCTCGTCACGGGATTCCCGTGCACTCCGTTCTCATTATTGCACGCTGGCAGTGCCCTTTTGGCAGATGAAGAAGCCAAACAATTCTATGAAACGGTGCGCCGCATCAAGCAGTTGCAACCTTGCATCACTTGCCTGCTAGCCCAACTAAGAGCACTTTGGCCCATGCCCATGAACTTTAAGGATCAAAGACCCCAAATCTGAGGCAGCCATACTGGAGAATGTGAAGGGTATCTCGCGTGTGATGGATGATATCCTGTCCACCCTGCACAATCATCTACCTGGGAAACTCAGCTTTAAACATTGCTACCTCCCACTTGGGTGTCATGTTCTTGTCGGGCATTGAGGTATCAGATCTTTACCATAGAGCTGAATCCGTTTCTCGGCCTACGCCAGGTGTTGGAATCGATATATAATGTAACAATATACCCACCTGGTGAAAACTAAGGATGCAGCTTGGAGCGCCGGTGGCCAGAGAAAGAATCTACTTTCTTATTTTGCGGGGAGAGCTGATACACGCTGACATTGACAACGTTGGGCACTTCATCAATGTCTTACATGAAGAACTTCAATCTGAAAGCCAGGTGACATGGTGCCTCCGCTGTATTTTAGCTCTACCATGTTACTGTGCCGGAGTATATACCTTCCTATTCACTGACTGGGCTAAGGCAAGACCTCCTACTGGACCGAAACCACCGGGCAGTCCAAAAAGACCTGCTACCACCGTCGCAAGCGGTCAGAACAAACTGTTCGACCAAGAAGAAGTAACTCAGCAACATGTAATTCGTGACTTTGAGAAACCAAACAGTATGGACCTGAATGTCATTTAGTTATCTTTAGCGTTCCTTTGACCAAGGCCGAAGAAAACATCCTTAAAATGGCCAAAGCACCATCGCCAGTGGGCCCAAGATCATGGGGCAACATGCTTAGAGATTGTGCAATACTGTCATCAACAAGATCATGAAGATTGCTCCCGGCCACGGCTCCAGGTGAACATGCGGGCGGCTGCTGGCAGCTTTCGAAAGGCTTTCCCTTTGGCAGCCCAAGAAATTCGATGTGAAAGAGAGCTGAAGGCCTGATTGAATCTCTTGTTTTTTCATTCAAGTGTCCTCGGTCCGCCGGAGGCTCTCGATTTAATTACTTCATACACTGCGGGGGACTTTGCCATTGCCAACGTATCGCAAAGCATTGGCAGGATGCAGTGCAGCCTGCATTCTGCCCCGATGCCCTGCATTACGTTAGGTCCTTACTTTGTAGAAGCGTATAAAATTGACCAAACCATCAAACATGCACCGGAGTCTGTTCTTTGACGGAGGCCCTGTGGGAAGTTTTTGGTGACAGGGCAACAGAGATTTCTCACAGGACTGGCTGGATTCGGACAATAACCCATGGCATTACCTTGTTCTTGGAGGACTTGAAGCTATGATTTTGATGGGCATTCCAGTGATGCGATTGGATCTCCGTGGATTCAAGAGCCGTGTTTCTCGTTTGTAAAATGCCATGCTCTCTCCTTCACGAGTCGTCATTCAGCCGCTCAGGATCTGCAGAAGTTGGCAGGTAACGGAATGCATATGAGGGCGATCCTGGCAGCGATTGTGCTGACGCTGCGATGCTTGAACCCGCAGCTTATGGCAAAGTATCTGATCTGAAAAAAGTGGCTTGGAATATTTGTAATCTAGCTAGAAAAGCCTGACTGTTGAATTCCTGCAAATGCCATTCCGCAAAGGCCCAAGTGTTATTGTTCTTGGTTGCAACATTATCAAACAAGTTATATATTATATAGAGATTGATTTCCACTGTCACATATTAGTGCATATCGTTGCCAAACAATCAGCGCAAAGCTGCTGCAGCTATATAATCCTTTACTGGACCTGGGTTCAAGAAAAACCTTTTTTTCAGCTTGCTGCCAATGGGTGTCCTTGGTCGATATGATGATGAGAAAGATGCGCTGATCGGGCTGGCATCAAAACAATCTACGTGGCGATATGATGAATCTGAAAGTGCTGACTCTAACTCTGGTGGCTCTGGTGATGAGAGCGAGTCCGATGATGAGAGCGAGTCCGAATCTGGAAGCTCAGAGCTCCTCAATTTAATCTTATCACGGGCCCCACCTGTGTTTTTTTTCGAACCTGTAGGCGTGCTGCCCTGTGAGGTCAACTGAGGGTTCACCATCAGCAGCCCGAGAAGTAGATTTGAAGCTCTCATATTTGCAGTCCCTCCGGGGTGTGAATGATTCAGGGGATCATTCAACCTATGCTGCCAATGGGGCCGATCGAAAACGGTTGAAGGAACTCTTGCGAGCCCCGCCTTGCCCATGCAAATGCTCTATGCCATTGAAGCCGCTCATGGCCGCCTGCCGCACATTTTGGGGTCTGCCAAAGGAAGCGCAAGACGCAGCTCTATGGAGCCTCCAGGTTGAGGCAGGAAGAAAAACAACGTGGAGCATTGAAGGACCCTGTAGTTTTGTTTCACGAGTCTCAGTTTGGTTACACAGTAAAAATATGTTGACCGAACTGTTAGGATTTCAGCTTTGCCGGACTTCTTGGCTACGATACATGGGAATTGGAAAGGAACGCCTCAATCGAACCAAGAAGCGTTACCGTGGATTAGACGAGCGCTCGCTCAACCAATGCACCATGGCAAAACAAAAAACATATGTGCCATGCATGTCCAATGTTCCTTTCCTTTGCTTGAATGAGGTGCAACTGCTCATGAAGCATACCAAAGCTCGAAAGTGAATAGCTTCTTTGCCCACCTTTACTGGACGGCGGCGGAAGCAATGCCCACCAAGCACCTTGGCTTGTTGTGAGTTCAAGCATGTTCACGGCAACGGTCAGCCCCTAAGGTTTGAAACTGCAGCAACAAAGGATGTGCAGGAAGAGTTGCTAAGTAAGTTGGTGCAAGAGAAGCTGTTAGGCAGCACACGCCAAATTCAAGAACTTGTTCCAGAAGAGCTCCCACACCGAGAACTGCCCCCCTGGCAATACAGCTGCCCTGTATTTGATGTTCATCTCATGGGTTCGTTCAACGGGGACATGCAGCGATGAAAAGATTGCATGCCGCACCACCTTCTACAACGTGGCAAGAAGATGGTCAGCATGCTTAAAGTTTAGACACCGCTCGGAGCATTCAATGTGCGTTCAGTGCCAAACTTTGAAGGCCGCTATTCGTGCTTCGACAGAGTGGCTCTTAGTTGTGTTGATTTTTTTGGAAGCACATAGTCTGGACACACACACGGTCTGTTTGATAGCAGGTTCTTGTAGCTGAGGATTTTCAAGAGCACTGTGATTTGTGCAACAAGCTCTTGCAACACTACTCATCACAGTACTTGGACCGTTCTGTGTACTGGGCAGCTCGCGATCGATCGTCAACCCAGAGAGACCTATTGTGCGTCATTGTGGACACGTTTGACAGATCTAAATTGTCACTGCCCCGCTATCCTTTTGACCGAACACCAAAACGAACGGTGTACGAAATGTACCTCAGAACCTCGATTGATTATTGCTGCTTGAAAGTTAATTTTTTGTTCACTAAATATCATTACCTTCCTTGCCTTCCTTATTGCGCTTCAGGAGCTTCTGTGGTATTGACCGCCGTCGTCGTCCATGGATGGGGCTGTTATTTATATTTGACGCCTCAAGAAGGGATGTCAGCTGGATCGAACTGGAACTGGGAATGCGTTCCTAGTTGGGCACATTAGGTCTCACTTCTTTTGAAGTTTCACATTAAAACTAAGACTGACTGTAAATCTGACTGTCGTGAAATCTGAGATAATGCGATCGCTGGAGAAAGCCTGGCTACAATGCAGGGCCAAGAATTTGCCATACCCCCCCAGAGTGACTTGGGTTGATTGATGTTGATCATGATGGCAGTCAGTTTGATTGAGGGTTCACTTTCCGGCAAACTTCACTACTTGCAACTGAGGATCTGGATACAAAGCGACAACACTGTCAAAGAGCTGCGAAACACTTTCACCTCCCGTGCCCTTTGCATGCTCCTGCACCAAGGAGCGTTTCGTATTGCTTCTGAAATGCACCTGGTGAAGGGTCACACTCACGAGGATGTCGACGCCATTTTTGCAGTGTGTGCAAACTATCTTCGTTCAGCGGCAGATCTACAAACGCCACGCGATATACAAAGAAGACTCCAAGACAAAGTTGCACGTATATTCGAAAGCAAAGGGATTGCATTTTCAGTGGATGTAGTTGGGGAGGTGCCTTCTTCGTTATAAGTTGTTTTCATTTACTACTACACTGTTATTTAGTTGCAGCTTGTTGAAATATAATGGAAAGCAAACTTGTGTTTACCTAGCCCGAGGTCAGAGAATGGACCAAGATCTTTCCTGACAACATCACCTTCAAGAATTGCTTCAAAGTGCGAAAGTTGCAAGAGACTGATCAAGAACAGATTCCAGTGCCACATGCATTCACATTTATGCCAAGATCAGGACTGGGATCTGTGCGCTTAAGCCCAAGCACCACTTTTAAATGACATTAAACGATTCAATATTTCATATTGTTTGGGCATTGTTTGCCTGCACCATGCTGAACCACACCTCAGGGATGCCCGATGAAATTGAAGTCAGTGGCAGGGTCCCAGGCGCCTTCAAGTCTGGGGAATCCGGGTCAGATATCTTTGCAATGGTCAAGGCCACGATGGCCAGCAAGACATTGTCCCAGCCACCGCTGCTTGTGTGGCCTTCATCCATGCAAGACGTCAGCAAGAAGGCCGTTCAGACGGCCAATGGCCACGGGTGTCCCAGTGTCGGGTGTTCATTGGACACTGCCAGACGTGATGAGCTTCGATTGATGCTAGCCGGATTCCGCCGTGACTTCCCGCACATGAAGCGCACTATGGCATGGTACCAGAAGATGGTTGATGGGTTGGAGGAGGATAGTGCTAAGGGTCTACCTCAATTGACTTTCTTGAAGGATGCTCGGGCAAGCCATTTTGATTTTAGCCAAATTCAATTGGGTAGGGGGGGTGCCACCACCAAAGCCACATGAGCTGCAAGTGGTGTTTCATCGTGGGGGTCCTTGAAACCGAATGGTTCAATTGCATCACAGTGGATTCCAGAAGGGTCAGGAAAAAGAGTTTTGCCTGCTGGCAATGCACAATCATTTTCCACACTTACAGCGTTTCGTTGCATTTTGCAGTGAATGTGTACGCTTGCAGCCTTTCAGTGAGTGTGAACAGAGTCGGGCCCCCCCATCGGGTGACCATGAAGGAACCCGATAACACGCCGTCTTCCGCCCTTGAGCAGATCCAGGCGTACTTTGAGACTGTTTCTTGGAAATGTTTCTTAAAGTCTCAAAGGGTTCTGTTGCTTTCGGGGGCGCATGTGAAGGTGAAGGCTTTTGTTGATGGCTCTAAGGTTGTTGCGAACAAGAACCTTGGGCAGCATCTTCAAGATGTCTTTGGTGGTGGCACTCGCTTGGAAGAGGTGCGAGTATGTATCAACTTCTGCATGTGGTGGGTCAGTCATAGTCATGGCGAGTTGCACCAAGCTCTGCGGAGGCCATAGAGAGATTGGTGATGGCCAGGGCACTCCTTCCTGCATCCAAGCAATTCCTGTCTCTGATTCCAAATGGTGACATGGACGAGTTCTACCTGCCCCTCCATGCATTCGATCTCACGATCAATGCAAAGAACGGATGTGGGGGGTTTTCAAATTTTGTTTGTCAATAATGCTGTGTGTCTTGAACACTGTCTCTTGTGTTCAACACTTTGCCCTGCAGTTTGGCCATCCAACTTGCAGTATATCAACCATTTCAATGAGTTCCTGTATCATGGGTACAGGCCTGCGATCGGTACAGTAGAAGTCCGATTCCCAAAACGAGACGCCACGAGAACAATCCAACAAGGGACTGTGGGAATCAGCGACGGTCAAACAAAGATCATAATTATGGCGGCAATCATTGGAATGATAGTCGAGCTGGAGCTAGAGGACCACCCTGACTTGAAGGATGCAGGCTCCGCCCTTTCAAAGACGCTAGAGACTTTTGTAGCTATCCGGTGCAGCTACATTGAGTTCGTGAACCCCTCGCATCATTTCCTGCACTCCCTGAGAGTCTTGTCAGAAAAGTTTCAGTTTGTCAACCTTAGCCTTTTTGTTGTCCAAACTTCTTGTGACTTCTCGCGCAAACACCTAGAAATGGGCTTTGTGAGTGCGGAGAAGATCTCTCCATCGCCAATTTCAATCCTGGCAGACATCCAGGGTGCCATAGAAGTTGAGAAATCCCTGGGCCGTGGAAGAATGGCGTTGAGAGACATGTTGGGAAGAGTCGCATCAGACTTCAACAAGATGATTGTGACCAAGAAACATAGAATCGACAGTGGGAGGAAAACCCTGCTGCTGAACTTGTTTCTTGTCAGTCAGCATCGATGTGTGCTTCAAGTATTATGTTGTCCCGTTGTCGTGGCTGTTTCTTTCATTGGAAGCAGCCTAGGCTTCGTCTTCCCCGCAAAGCACAGGACCTATTGGCTGCACATTACGATGTGTACAAACATGATGTATCAGGCTGGCCAATACGAGTTTTACAGCGTGTAGTCTTGATTGTCTTGATAGTTTGGCTTGGTTGAGTATACTCTATTCTCCAGCTTGCATGGGACAAGTCATGTTTAACAGTTTGTCTTCCCTGCAGCCTTTCCCCACGACATACTTCACGGCGAATACTACGTTCCGGGATCTTTGTCGCGAAGGGAATCAGAGAAGTTCAAAGGGAAGAGGGTCTTCTCGGAGGTCCTTGACGTGACTGAGGACACATGCTTGGCCTACTTTGAACGTGCGATGAAGGACTAGAGCTGATGGGCAAATTCGGGAATGAAACTGAATACACAAACTGTCAACCATACCAATATTTTAGACTTACTGGCTGTTTGTTTGTGACTGAATATTATATAGATGTCGGTTTGACTTACAGCACTGCTACTTTGCAGGACTTTGTGAGGAGGGCTTCGAAGGACGCCACGGCCAAAGCAAAGGACTGCATGTCAAAACAATGAGGTGGTGTATTGAAAAATCTACTGCCCCCTCCTTAACAAATAATGTCAATGTTGCTCGTCAAAAACATAGTTTATAGATAGTCTCTCGTGCCCCCTCCTGTTTTTTTCTATCAGTTGTCCGAACCCCGTGAGAAAGAAGCGCAGCTCAGCGAACAAGGCCACATTGATCTTCATGACATAACGTGTCTTTGGCTCTATGTGAAAGGCTGCATGGCGGAAACCTTTCCAAAAGAAGTGATCGACCGCCATCAGACGCTCTTTGACAATGGGACACTTGGCGCAAAAAAATCCAAACGAGCTTGCCAAAATCATGTCCGGTGGCTTCATGGGTTGCCAACTCGGATTTGGCAGCTGGTTTGTGATTGGTGACCTAAATTTTTTGGCCAACCCCCTCCCGATGTGATGTGGTCCGCAGAAACCGCGTCACAATTCTGGGAATTCTACCGGTGGAGTCATGGGGTGAAAAACTCAAAAAATCTCCAAAACCAATCAAACTTCAGGCTCCAAAAAAATTGGGCAGAATGTGATGTGGTCCGCCAGAACCGCGTCACAAATACTATGGTTTTGAAGATATCAATCATTGGGAGAACTAGGATTTGTATGGTTTAGGAATGATTGGTTCTTGCTAAACCTATTGATTTATGATGTGGTCCTGGAGGACCGAATCAAACTCCCCCTCTCAATTTTCACTTTCCAAGTGTGATTGGTTTTTGACTCTTTTTGTAGAAACTTAAAAAGAACAGAATAAAAATATATTATCAAGCTCTCTCTCTCTCTCTCCTTCCGGCCCTCACAAAATTTGGCCAAGGCACCTGGACACTGATTTGTCAGCAGTGATGAAGTCAGGAGAACCTTTCGAATGGCAACGGATTCCATTCGTGCTTGAGGCCCTTGCAGGGATTCCAACTTCTTTTTGTAGAGACAGTTGGATCGGAGGGATCACTATGAGTTGAACAACTGTTACTGAATCTTATGTCAAGTCATACGTTCATTCAGGGCGCCAAAGGTATCGCTGGGCTTGAGATACTGTTTGTACTAAATAGATCTAAATATGGGGAGACCTTTGCTTGATCCTGACATGCTTTCTTGTTATCAATTGTTTTTATATGATACCATCATTTAGACCCATGCAAGGCGTGCTACTCTAGGCCCTAGGCGTTCAACCATGTGTTTGCAGGCGCAGGGACGCACAATGGAGGAGTATGTTGCTGAGCGCCAGGATCGATCGAAAAATGCGCTTGATCGATCTACAGAAGCGGCGTTTGTCTCATGGCTAGAAGACCTCAAAGCCGATGAAGCCCTGTTCATGTCTGACAAGATCATGAGCCTCGGTTTTGCCTTGCAAAGTATGGTAATCATAATATTCACCGGGCATGTGCTTCCCTTGTGTGTATTTGGAGGGTTCCAAATCCAGCTTGTCAACCACTTAGGGCCCAGAAGGAGGGTGAAAGGACGCGTGACGCGTGCAAAACTGGTCAAGCAGCTGGAGGACTCCTGGCGCTCTTGGTCTTGAAAAAAAGTAATGCTTGTTAAACAAAAGAATACAAAAGAACATCAGGGTAGGCTGTGGTGTTACCCTGACACCTTGGACATCCTGGATACCAGTCCCTTCTGAATCACCCACCACCCCTTCAGGAATGCCACAATCGTGCCTGGGAAGCTATTCAGGAGTACATGGACAGCCATCTCAAAACCTTCAGTGGCAAGATGATGGACGGGGAACCGGTTATCATGCCCCAGGTGAGGTCATGGGCGCGCTCAATAGCCATGGATCTCAGTTCATCTACTGAAGACCATTGTGTGATTATGCTGATGAGTTGTCCAACAGCTGGCATATTGACGGGTCTTCAGAAGTCGTTCATCAACACCTTTGTCTGCAATCTGATTGCAGACTTTCCCCTGAATTCGTGCTGCTTGTTGGTGCATCCAAACAGGGCTGGCCAGTCAGATACAAGGACTGCGTGGAGGTTTTTACCAACATCTACTTTTACCCAGCATCCAGAATCTACAACAAGGTAATATTGAAGATTCGTTTTCAACTAAGGTGAGAAGACTTGTGCATTGGGACAAGAACAAACAAATTATTGCGTGATGGTTTTGCACTCATACCAAATATAACCCCACGATACTGCAATGCCAACAGGAAGCCTGCAGCAAAGAAAGAAGAAGAGGAACCTCCTGCAGTCAAGGATCAAGACCAGGAATCCGACGATGAGTCCGACGAGGATGAAAAGGATCGTGAAGATGTTGATGTAAGGGACATCCGCTACAAGATAGAGACGCTTGTTTCCCTTGGTTTGGTATTATACTGTTTGTTGGTTGAACACAGTTGCCGTTGTTTGAGGCCTTCCTTTGCTTTGTATATAGTTAGCCGCAGGGACGTTCTACGCTGAACTCAGGACCCAGTTCGCCCTCAAAGAGAAAGGTTTGAAGGTCCGCAATGTGACCTGGATCTTCCGGCCCGAACTTCAACTGAAGTGAAATTGAACAGTTTCCTTCTTTTGTATCTTTTGTCACAAGCCCCACATGTTTGTGTCGACTTGGAATGCCTTGTCAAGGGTTTTCTCCATAGTTTAAAATAAACTCATTCAAATCCTTGAGGTTTGGCTTTGAAAAGGCAACTTTTAACTAGACTAAGTAGAATTTTGGATGAATTCTTTTGGGATGCTTCTATGTAGCATATCATTGTTTTGGGTGGAGGTGAGCAATCTCTCAGTGAGGATACCGTGTATGGAAAACGTGATGGGCACCTACAAGGATTGGCAATTGTTTCCAAGGATCCCAGGAACCTGATAAAGGCCACCAAGGGCTTCAAGACAGGAACGATTCACGACATCTCTATGTTGGGGCGGCAGGATATGTGGAAACCACAGGCATGGGGTTCTGCTTATATGTTGAGTGAAAAAAACGTTTTGGTCCGTTTATCTGCTTGTGACTGGTACTTGTTGTAACCAGGTTCATTCATCACCCTATTCCGATATTCCCCCTGCTGTCCTCTGAAGCAAGCATCATCCGACTTTGTGCACGCAGGTCAGCCCAGCGAAGAACCGCGGCTTGCCTCATTTGGGACGAGCATTCACTGATGCGCAGGAAATGCGTCAGGCTTCTTGACAAAGATTTAGAGAATACTGCATACTACTTTTCCGCCAATTTACCATGTGACATTATGTGACTCTATATTATTTAGATGCTGGAATTCTATTAGGTTGCTGGTGGTACAGACTTTGTGCGAAAGAGTTTGGACGCATTCAAGCCACCGACATGCAAACACACAATATTGCTGGACATGAACGGCTACGATGCTTTTCCAGCACTTGCATGTTTGGAGGATCGTTCAGCCAAAGGCAACTACCAAGTCAGTGTGTTTACTAGTCGTTTTTTTGTTTACTGTATCTTCTTTGAAACTGGCCATGGGACATAGAATGGGGTTCAACTGCTCTTCTTCCCCTGCTAGGAGCTGGCAAACGGCAGCAATGCAATGTGTGGAACGATTTGTTTTGATACGAGTGGGTCGGACTTGGCGACGCGCATCGGAAATCAAATCTATGAACAGTGTCGTTCTGGGAGGTTTAGCATTCCAGGATTTCCTTCGTTTGATCCACTACTGACAGCTCTGAAGGCAGGGGTGGTTACTGAGAGGGACTCCACATTCAAGGTTTGCTGTCAACGCGGCAATTCTCTTCTTGCACTGGAGAGCTTCGCGCAAAAGTGGATGACCACCCCGCTCACCGCCGATCGTGCCAAAGAAGCTCTGGAAAACCACAATCGTGAGTTTAATGAGTCCAGTGACTTTTGGGCTGCCGACAGGACTGACAAAACCTTCCGTTGCAAAACTCAAGTCGCCGCCCCACGCACATCAAAAATTACCCAAACTGGGGTGAACTCCGACTGGGGGGCAGGACTGGTGATAGCGAGGAAGGAGAAGAGCGGCCTGCCAAACGCATCAAAATTGAGCACTGCAAGTTTGAGGATGTTGCCAAGCTTGCCAACCCGCATCCAAACTGTTTTGGAAATGAGCTGAAACTGTTATTTTGACGATGCATTCATGGAAGGAGCTTCTTTGTTGACCCCACATCCAAGGCAAACTGTGGCTATCAACAACACGTGTGACCTTCTCATGGTTGAAAATGGTACCCAGCTGTTCATCTGCTCGCGAAGCAAAAACCAGTTCTTTGACAAGCGTGAGATGCCCCCTGGAAGTATGTGTTGGCACCATTTTGATCTTTTGTCTTTACCCCTTGAGGGATGGTGAATGGAGCCTTTCTGGTCATATTGGGTTTATGGTTAAACTGCCTGACAGGTTCAGCTTTGGATCTGGAGAATGGAGGGATGGACCAGCCACTCAGCTTTTTCCTTCACGCTGCTTTTTGAAGGCGTTCAGCTGTTGGTGTCAATCAGTTTTGGTTATTAGACATTCATCATTAATTAAAGAAACGGGAATAGCATTGGGCATCTTTATCTTCAGTCCATTGGGGTCACCATGTTCTTGGCATGCCATCTGCTAAGTGCTTTTTGAATGTTTTCTCTTAATCGAGGAGGGGACTGAAGTCATGCAAGACAGTGCATTCACCCGATGGTTCAGCTTTGCGGTGGATTCTTCAACCTACATCATCATGGAAAAAAAAGTCGATGCCAGAGCATCTCCAACAGATCGACAACCTTGACACACCAGTGACGCTTCAAAGTATGGTTACCGACATGCAAGACTTGGGCGAGGTGCCTGGACTCAGAGGCAAATAGGATTATGTGTTTTCACTTGCTTCACACTGTCGTTTAGTGATATTGGCAATTGGTGATAGGATACGCTGGGATGTCCATAGAAGTAGTTTTTGCCTTTCACTCAAACAAGGTAAAGCTGGAAGTCAGCCACCACGCGTTGATTGATGGCCATTGGAAAAGCTCCAAGCCGCTGGTTTTCGTGTTGGACAACCCGCCAGCACCAGATGTCAAGAAAGAGAAAGAAAAAAAAGCCGAAGGGAAAGGCAAAGAAGAAGGAACAAGGATCCGGATTGACCCTGAAAAATCTTGGCGGCGCCTTGGACATTGGCAAGGTCAAGTCTGCCACCAACATGGTTTTGGCCTGGAGATGCCGGTGTCTCGCACTGCTGTTTTGACGACATGGAAAACAGTAAACCAGTAATGGGCCGATGACCCTTTTGTAGCAATTCTGTGATTACTGGTTAGTATGACTATCAGTGAGGCTGGACTGCTCCAATACTGGTGGGACCAAAATCATTACGCCTATTCGCCCTGTCATGGCCTTGGTGGGCAACCTGGACCTGGGTGAAGCCACGGTGCGCTTGATGTGATACTTTGGAATGGAAAGGGTGTTTCGTGGCAGGGGCAGTGGAAAAGCCCCGAACCCTAAGTCTTTAAGTCATCTAAAACCCAAAACACGTTTAGTGCATATGGCTTGGGCCCCAACCAAAAAAGAACTTGCTGCTGCTATGAATCTTATCGGGGTGTGATGCCACTGGAGCCAAGCGAAACACTTATTGCAGATCTTACTCTGGAAGCTCGGTGTCGCTGGGAGATTTACGGGGAACGAGTTTAAACCACCAGAGTCCGACTTTGTTTTGGGTATCTCTGGGTCATTGCCACCCAAAGATTTCCACCTCCACTTAGTCCGGGCAAAACGCACAACTCCGTTTTTGAGCTTCCCAGCAATTTCAAGAGCATCTTGATCCAGCATTCTGGCCACCTGGTCAGTGCGGGCACAGTGCACAATGATGTGCAATTTTGAGAAGCTTTACATGGGCATTCTCTGTCAGTGATACCAAATGCCCCGGACTGCACCACGCAGGAAAAAAACATGGAAACCCAGCCATGCTGCTTTGGTTTGCTTGGACTTTGAACTTGTTGGTTGAGTCACGTTTCCCAATGGATCAGTCATGTTTTAATATTCACTGGTTGTGCGACAGCCCTTTTGAACAAACAGCAAGGGGTGAGTGCGCCTGTGCAACCTGTGCACCTATGGCGTCGCAATTTGAAGATGATGATGATGATGACGTCCAGGAAGTGCCTCTTACGACCTGCTTACGCCCACCTGTTCCGCTCCTGATCATTGTGTCATAACTGATTGAAACAGAGTTGAGTTGACAAATTTGCTGATGGTTTTGACACACTCTATTCCAAGGCTTTTAATCTACGACGGTTGCTGGCCTCCGACAACCTGGGACCTGCAGCTTTAAGCCCATGTCCTGCTACGCGCACCTCGCCTCCAAGCTCAGCAAGACAAGTTACTGCTGCTGGTCCTGCAACGTCGGCGTCAGGCGAGGGAAATAATCAAAGTCAATCCAACCCCCACTTGTATAATATATATATACTTTATCATACATTATATACTATATTCACATGCAAAGCAGTGGAATATTCATTCAACTTGTCGATGCTGTGGACAGGTTCTGCACGACCTCCCGCAGGGCATGCTCTTCCCCCGCGGGTTAGTGATGAGTCTTCCTCTCCTGCTGCCAATGAAGACAAGGAAGGTAAAAAGAAAAAGGACAAGGGCAGCAAGAAACTCCCACAACCCAAAAGAAAGGGAAAAAAACAGAAACAAGATGATGGCCACTCAGAAGAAGAAGAAGAAGAAGACGCTGAGCATGCACCATTGGGTGAACTTGGGTATGATGATGATGATGAGCTTGATGACCCAACTGGCAACGATACCAACAACGGCAAGAACCCCAAGGGTGAGAAAGCTTCAAAGAAAACAGGTGCTGGCAAAACCAGTGTGAAAAAGAAACCATGCACAAGGACAGGAAAGAAACGCCCAGACCACGAGGAGCGATTGTTGCTGTTCCAGTTGTCTGTCCTTTGCTTTGTAATGGGATTTAATGGGTAATGTCCTCTTATTTTGGCAGTGCTGCGCTGTGCTGGTTTGGATCCAGGAGTCACAAGATGAAGTTGCCGGGGACCGCAAACCATTTCAATATGAAATTGAGCAAATGCGCCGCTTGGAAGAGGGCTCACAGACTGAGCTGCTTGGATTACACGTCTCATCAAAGCAAAGATCTGTAGGCCCCATGCCAATCAATTGTCAATTTCAATATATAGCTGAGTTCATTCCGCTCATGACATTTATTTCTTTGCTTTGCTAGCCATTCCTCAGGTTGAAGACAGAAGTTCCAGCACCATATCAGGAAGATCCTGACAATCAAGTGGGCTTAGAGAGCCAACACGATTTTGCGGAGGGTCCGAAGGGTGATGAAGGCTGTGATGGTATGGAGGCCCCGTGAATCTATGTGCGTTGATGTTTTGCATGTTGCTTCCCCGATCAACCCGATCAACCAAAGACTGGCCGCAGTCCTTGATCTCCAGGAGGCAGAAACGCGCCATCGCATGGATCCTGAGATCGCCGGTGCTGCGACTGCCGCTGAGCCGCAAAACAGTCTCCATATTAACATGATGCCACAGGATGTGAATTAAAAAACCCAGAGCACACAGCAACAAGACTAAGTAATAACAAATAAATATAGCAAAAACTATTTTCTTGCATTTTCTTGCAACTGTTTTCTCGGTTGGTTGGACATGGTTGGACTTCACTCGAAAGTGTGATGTGAACTAATGAACCGTCACCGCAATTGAACGGAAACTGCAGGACACCCCATGCCCAGTGGACACTGCCTTTATCGATGATATGGGGGACATGACCGCCTTGGCTCTTCAACAGGTCGAAAAGACCATTCAAGGGAAGGTGTCTGACCCAGCTGTGCCAGCCGAGGAGGTTTCTGAGCTTGCGAAAACGGCATTGGAGCATTGTACCAGCATGCTTGATTGTCTGGAAACCATTGCTTCCATGCCTAGTGGACCTGTCTTCTCCGTTGAGGAAGAACAAGCTTTGAGATTGGCTGAAAGCCTTGAGAATGCTGAAGTAGCAGAGACGCAGATGGACCCTGCGCCGGTGAAAGGAGATGATAGTGACTCCGAAACGCTGGACATCAACAGCGTGCTGCACGGTGACCCAACTGACCAGCTTAAACAAAGCACCCATGAGCAGATCGAACAGCTTATCAATGACCCGGAGCAGGCATTGAAAGACGAGAATTTCATGAAGGAGGCAATCACCAATGAGAACCTGGCAGAACAAATTGCATGTGCCCATAGGGTGGCAGCACGTCAGGAGAAAGGCCTTCGACCGCACCAGCTCGAGATCGCTGCAAAGATTCCAAAGCAGACTTCCCGGCAAGGCATGAAAGAAGCAGCAGCAAAGGTCAAAGCAAAAGCAAAAACAGCAAAAGCAAAAGCAAAAGCAGCTGCAAAAGCAGCTGCAAAGAAAAAGACACGGGATTGCAGTGGAGGTTCCCAACAGGCTTCCAACCAAACCAGCCAAAGGAAGCGCCGCCCAACCACTGATGCCAAGCATGCCATGCCCACCAAGGGAAAGCGAGCCAAACTGGCCAACACCAAGGATGACACCACCGATGCCGAGCATGCCAAGGGCACCAAGGACAAGAACGCCAACACGGGCGAGTCCGAGGTCAGCATGGTCGTGTTGAAGAAGAAAATGCACTCTGCATCTTGACTAATGAATAAAAATAACACCAACGTAGCATCAGTCAGAAAGTAAAAGAACTAAGATTTTATTTTTTGCATTGCCCTAAAACCGAGGTGTATTCTACGGCTTGGGTTGCTGCAAAGAAGAATCATGATGACCCATCCAAATGGAAGTCATTGGCATCCAAAGCCCGCAAGCAGCCACTAGGCATATCTTGTTGGGAGTATGCTGTTGACATTTGTCAAATCTATGAGTCCTACAAGAGAGATTTCTCCCCCATCTAAGGTGGATCATCAAGAATGGCCATGAAAAGCACTCTGCAGCGATGATCTACCTGTAGGATGGATGTTTAAATGCATCCAAGTTTCAGTGTGTTCTTAGACACACTTCGGCCAACTGGCCACTGGGGGTGCAAAAAAGACTGCGGCTTGGGGGAGCGTGTGCGAGGACCCACTTCTAGAATGTAAAGGACCCACTCACAGCTGGACTTCCATTCCCTTGTTTGTTTGCATCATTTCAGGAACAATATAGACGACCGGCCATCGCTTACCTGTCAGTGTAACTTGGGGAATTTGCTCGACCGAAATGGGCGGAGTTTGTTCTGCCCAGGATGGCTCTCTTTCAGCGGTTGCAAAAGCCTTCGCTGCGGTCTGGATCATTTGCCACGCTGCACCCAGCTGCACTATGTGGCGCCTTGTTCGCAGATCGCCCGGAAGGCTTTCTGTGGCCCGTGGGAAACTTGGTGGTTCAGTGAGAAACCAAATAAGGGGTCGGTGGTTTTGTGTCACTCCTTTGAATGTCTAGATTTGTGATGATTTGTGCAGCCGCCTTCTCTTTGCTTGGAGTATCTAATCTAAGGAGATGACGAGGCTTGCAGCCGCCTTCCCTAGGTTCAAAAAGCCCCTCTTTTGTGACCCAGTCGGACACCTCAAACCGGGCGTACGATGACATACTTTGTTTCTCGTTCTTTTTCACAGATCGGGTAGCAGTAGCCCCCATCGACTTCCCGTACTACCAAGGATGCTTTTAGATGCTCTTAGCAGGTCTTCTTTCAGTGGTAGGTACTCGTACCTTGCATCTTCCGATGGCGTCGGTCTACCGGGCACTCCGTGGAGGGTCGCACAGGTGGAGAGGTCCTCCTCGGACCGCCCTTGGACGGACCGTCGCATGTGCATCGCGGCAAACGGAGCGATCGGACGCTACGAACGTAGCTCCTGGCCTAACTACTTAGCAAGAAGCTACTATAGTTACTATAGTAACAAGGGCTATTAGTAGCTAATCTTTCAATCTTCGGAGCAGAGCAGCACTTGGGTCTTTTCACCGTCGCTGTTGGGGCGTTCGCTCCCGGCATGACGGTGACCGGCCCAGGATCTTTTCGGCTGTCCCGAAGTGGATGCTTTCAGCTGCTTCGTGGCCAGCAGCGACCAGGCTGGACGGGATCGAGGAACGTCCGAAGCGTCACAAGTGAACGGGCACAGTGGCGAACGGGTGGCTGGATCGTAGCACACGTGCATCAGGTATATAAATCTAAGGAAGGACCACTGGTGGAAGCAGGTGTCAGGTCACGGCCAGAACACTTCTGCAAACCACGGGGTCCAACCCAAATGTTCTGTAGCCTTTTGATCAGGAGTCGTAGGAGGTTTATAGATTCCGCTGCTCGTATAGACAACCTGGCTGGATTGCGATGATGTTCATTAAGGTGTTGCATGCCTGTTTGTTATGGGTGAACACGAGGTTTTACCGGCAACCAGAACAGGTGCGAAGGAGTCTTCCTCCTATTGATCTCCTGCCCATCTGAGCCCCAAGCACGACCAAGAATAGCCAACGGCGGACTATGGCCCATGTTTGTTCAATCGCTGCAGAACCAAAGTGGGCTCATAGAATAGCCTCCTGAAGCAATTTGACCTCGGTTCCTCATGGAGCTACACTGATCCAGTCACATACTGTACCATCAATTCCAGGTGGTGGCACTGAAGCAAGCGTTTTTGCCTCAAGGGTGGCATGGGTCCTGCGTGGGTCCTCCAGTCCACGGTTTTGGGAACAGAGACATCGTGTCCGACGAACCCTTTCATGCACCGAAGTCTGTTGACCATGGTCGCGTGGAAGGTGGGGGGTTGGTTTCGGACCAAAAACGGGGGGTGACGATCGCAGAGGTCCAGTTGGTTTGGCCCAGTGTTGAGCAGCTCCTGACCTTTGCTCAACGGGCTGCAGTGCCAGAGCAGAGGCATGGGCCGATTCGCGACTCGTATTTGGATGGTCTTGAGAAAACAGAAAAGATCAGAAAAGCCTCGGCTTGCTGGGAGCAAAACTGTAAGAACCTACTATATATGTACTCAAAGAATCTCAAAGACATGTACATGCCTGCAGACCCATTGTGAAAGGCACAGTGCCCGTCCAGTGGAAAGTATCATGTTCCAAATCGTGCCGCCTAAAATAGTGAAGGTCGCCTTTAATTGATCGCAAGATGGTTCCACTAAGTGAAGATGTTCATCCGAAGGCCTATAGACCAGAGTCAGATTGTAGGATCATCTTCAGGTGTGTTATATAGTTGAGTTGGTTGATTTAGCTCTCCTGCTCTCATTGCCCAAGCAGAGAGAGGGAAACCACCCTAAGTCAGGGTGCAGGTCTGAGAGGTTCCCATTGGTTTGGAGGGCATCGATGGCTGACGCGGCGCTCAGTCTGAGTATGTTTTCCTTCAATCCAGCTAGCAGCTAGCTGTCGTCTAGATACAGTATGCAAGAAAACTCTGTTAGACTATTATTTGTTGGGTAGCTGGGAGGCCATACCTGCTTCGCTTCCCTTGATCAATGCAAGCGACCATAAAGTGAAGGTGGGGATTGCGAGAAATACCCAGGACATCCCAGGACAAATGCATTGAAGATCTTTGAAGAACTTAAGCACAAATCTGATGATCCGCACAGGGTCCCTGCACAGTACCATGCTTGAGGATGACAGCAATATTATACAGTATTATATATAGTTGGTTCTACAGTTGCACAGGCGTGTGCTTCTTGGCTCTAGCGCCCAAGAATTCGGGCTCTGATAGGACTTTGGAACTCTTGGAAGCTGCGGTCAAGGCCGTGGAGGAGAAAAAGCGCCAAAGTAGCCTCGAGGAGAGGGACTGGCAAAGCCATGCGAAGCCATGGGAAGAATGCAGAGCTGGAGAAGATTGAGACCTGATCCCATGAACACCCATAAGACACCGGGTAGAATTGCATAGTTATGTCACCATATTTGGTGTGTTTGTTCTGAATGAACATCATCAGTTAACAACAGTACTACTTTCAGTAGCTTATGTAACTTATGTATGAACTTTATTGGGTTTGACAGGTGTGTTGAAACTCAGTTGCGGACCTCCAAGGTCCAAGTAAGTTCTTTGATGTTCAATCTCTCCTCATAAGGTAGTGACCTGAATGGGAGACCTTGCAACCGAACTCGTGACAAGACACCAATCACCAAATGCCATGGGTATGGGAGACCAGCAATCCTATTCTTTGCATGGTCATCCTGCAGTAAAGAAGCAACCATGGGGAATTGTCAAAGGCCCTGAACTTTGGCAAAGGTTCAAATGGGTTAACAAGTTGCTCCTGTTTGAGTATCCTATAAAACCAACCGGACACTTGTTTTTGATAGACAATGGCCAGACTTTGGGTTAATTGCTAGTTCTCAAATAAGGGTCACGTGGAGGTTTGGTCGAACCAGTGGCACCACTAGGAGCCTGAGAACGGATTGCTCTCTATGCAGAAGCTGGTCCGGAACGCCGCACGAGAGGTGCCTGAAAGTAGCCGCATGACGGCTACTGAGGGGGTGCAGGCCACAAAGGGTCTGGACCAAAAGATTAGAATATCTACCGGGGGTCTTGGGAATCTATATTAACTATATAAATACTAGGTATATATAGATATATACACGACAAGCAGCAAGTTTTGTTGGCAAGAACAACTCAACGCACACCGTCGTTTCAGAAAGAAACTTGTTTCTTTCGTGGGTCCAGGATGCCCCCATCATGCATCCTGAACCTGAGCTGTCAAGGAGGGTCCTCTTCACAGCAAGAACTCATTCCACAAGCCACTCAGTACACCCTGCTTCACTTGGCACTGGGGCGCTGGTTAAAATTACCAAGCTGAGCATGCAAATGATGTCATGGTGGTCTATTGACCTCATTGATGTGGGATTTCCAGTCAGGTGCAGAGTACAAGCCACAGCCAACGCTTAGTTCCATCAACCGTCTTACCAAGTTCATACCCCCTTTCTCTCATGTGCCCCCCCAAAACACCTGTGACTATGTCACTGAGTCACGAGCCGCGTCTAAAAGAGCCATTGGGCATCAATCTCCTGACCCAACGTTTGCACTCTCTAGGAACAAGAAACTAGTACTGTAGCTAGAAACTAGTAGGTTGGAGGCCATCTACTAGACTATCTACTAGTACGTAGCAAGGCTACTAGTAGCGTCATTTGCCAACCGTGCCACCTTCTCTTCAGCGTCGACCTCTCCAGGCGGCGGCCACGGCGACCCTGGAGATCGGCGTGCGGGAGCTGCGACCGCCCAAAGTGGTGAGATCCATCTTCCCCGAGGCCGTCGGGTCGCGCCGCACCGTCGACGGGGGTCGTCTCGGGTCGGGGTGATGTTCAGCGGCGGTTTGAAGCGTTTGGAGAACAGGTGTTTCGTGGCGTGGATTTGGGGCCGTGTGGGTTCTATAAGCTCTCTCGTTCATAGTATACGTCTAGGATTCCGACTACTCTTTTCAGTTCACCACGAGTGATACCAGGCGTTTGCCCTTAGCTCTCCAGTTGTGCATCCTTGACCAGTTCACAGCTTTGACGTGGACAGAGGTCATGACCGACACCGAGGAGGATGACGAGAAGTCTGAGGCGCTCTCAGAGTTTGAAGGCTCAGTGGGCGAGGAACCTCTGTGTTTGGGCAAAGCTTCGGAGAAGGAGAAAGAGATAGCAAAACACTTAGACATATAGTGCTCTTATGATCTCTTATGTACTCTTCTTGTGTTTGTTCTGCTGGCCACAAAGATGAATAGCTTTTGGTTTTGGGTTACGTACCTTGTGTTTATGTTATGATGTAGAACAGAGCAAGGTACAGCAACGTTGGCCCGCAGGGCAATCAATGGATGAACTTGAAGAATGGTGTTCAACTGCACGGCCAAAGTTGAATCAACAATCGATGGGCCTTTGTACCTCTAATCTATACACCGCTGTTTGCAAGCCCAACAGAAGCCCAACACAAACCCAACACAAGACCAATTCACGCAATCTTATTGGGGAGATTGCA